ATACGCGGCTTCTTTGAATTTTCTCCTAAACCGATGTATGATTTTCCACACTCGCAGGGTATCCGGTAAATGCAATTCTTGGAATCGCAGTCCGCGTTTGGTAGCCTGGTTTTCGTGAGACTGCTACGGATAGTGTTTCCAGATCTGAAGCAGGTCCTGATTTCATACTTGGACCCAATCCGTCTTATCCTTTCCGATAATCCTCTGATGTAGGGAAGTACAAGTACTGGTTGTGGAGTTCTTGCTGTCTTCTAGCTAAGGCCTGTTCTACCATCACATTGGAGTAACCATTCCGTTGAAGGTCATTTTTGATGACACCTAGTTCCTTTTCGAGACCTTCCTTTTTATTACAGAGCCCAGAAGCACGCTCCAGAAGAGTTTTGATATTCCTCTCTTGGTCGATTGATGGTGGTTAAATTTCTGGTTCAGATACTGTCCTGTGTGAGTGGGTTTTCGATATACAGATGTTTCCCATTTAATGTCGGTCCTCTCCACCAATACGTCTAAGAAAGGCAATTTGTTGTGGATTTCCTTCTCCATTGTCAACCCCCTTCAAACAAAGATAATTAAGTACTTGTGCTTATAAAATATTTGCAGCAATTTTTAACAAAACTGGAAGAGAAACATATTATTTATTGACTGAGAAGAGTTCATTTATGATAATTAACACAAAGACAACCCTTTTTTCTTGTTTTTGTTTTTTTATCAACACTTCTATGCGTATAATTTTTGGCAATACACAATTTTACTTTAAATAGGTGCGGTACCACAAAAAATTTTCGCGCCTCCGGCGGGCTTTTCTGTGTGTATATAGTCTTTATGACTTTAGCCTTCCCTGATTTCCAATGCACGAGCCGTCACTGGAGCTAAGGACTAATGAGGTCTCACCTTTCAACGTTTGATTGTAACTGATCGATAGATAATTGTGTACCCTATACATTGATGCTTTTAATTTTTTCCCGAATTCTAATTTTTACCTTTTTTCAGCGTATTACTGTATGATTTCGTCAAGCAATTTTCGACCAGTTTTTCTCTACTCATTCAAATTGAACTAAAACGCTGCCGTAACAGACCGAAAAATTAACTAGGCATTTGACAATGATATTATTAATGCACGCTCTGTTCGACGTTGGTTTGCGAATTTTTACCTCGTAGTGGTCGACGTACTGTCGACTACTGGAGACTGTCCCATCACAAACGGTGCATGGGATGGCGGAAGAACTGGGTGTCAGCTCCCATGCGGTTTTTGAAAGATTGAAACAAACAGGGAAGGGCAAAAATCTTAAAGAGGGGCTGCCTCACGATTTCATGCAGAAATTGTCACGTTTCGAAATATTTTCTTTTTTCTTTTGCGAAACGGTCCTTTTTTGGATCGGATAGTCACGGGTGATGAAAAGTGGATCCTCTACGACAACAGAAAATGTTCTGGACGGTAGTTGGACACTGATGACCCACCCAGGTACTTCCCAAAGGTGGAAACCCACCAATGAAAGACTATGGTTATTATGTGGTCACCTGCTGGTGTGATTCACTATTTTCTTCAACCGGGTCCTATTCTGAGGACGACCGAAAATTTTGTCAGCAGGAGCTGGCACAGATCAACAGAAGAGGTCCGATCCTGCTGCACGACAACGACTGTCCGCACATTCCACAAATCACCATCCAAAAATTAATCGAATTGAGCCCGTCGATGTTCTGCCCCACCCACCATACTTCTCAGACCTCTCGCCAACCGATTATCATCTTTTCAAGCTCATTGATAACTTTCTCACTGGCAGAACCTCCGCCAATCAGAACCAGACAAAAACGACCTTCGTCGACTCCATCGAATCCCGAGCACAAAACTTTTATGCTGACGGAATTAGTCGAATTGTGTTACGTTGGAAAAAGTGCACTGATTCAGATGGTTTTCATTTAGATTGAATCAAATACGTATTCACTGTGATGATTCAGTTTGAAGTAGACTCATAGAAACGAACAAAACAGTGAGGCCTGTACAATTCAGATTCTCAATTCACTATGGCTTCCCAAATTACGATTTAAAATTTCAACCTCACCGTTCCTGGTCGTTATCATTCAGTGCTCCCGCCATCAATCTTTGATGGTGAATTTACGCCAAACAGCAGCCATATTGAGTTGAAACTGTATATCTCCTAACATAATATAATCTGTGATAATAATGTAATAAACTTCAGAGTGATTACCTACACATAATTCATGAAAAACATTCAATAGAAAAAGAAAATTCACTCACAGATAGTTCAGGCTGCCACACAAGAACTGGTATGAACTTGAATGATTTGATGTAATATTCATTCCTCCTGAAAATTATCCGTTCGACTACACTTTAATTTTTCACGAGGCTTTTTTTATTGAAAACTATAAGCAAAGAATGGTTGTAGTTACTCGTTTTCCTCCGATATTCGGACAAAAAGTCTGAAAAAGGTTGTTAGATCATTTGAGAATGAAAATAAAACGCTCATATATAAAACCATTTTATTTACAACAAAACATAAATTTATCTCTAAAATCTAATGAAATTATTCGTATGAAACTAGTCTAAATCGATATCAGTAGCACCTGCATTGCAACTATTTCGTTGATATCTCGTACTTCATCTTGAACTGACATCATTATTGAACAGAAAAAATATACATAACTAGTTACTAAACAGAAAAATAGACAATATTTGATCTTGTTTCCAAGAAGTTATCACCACACAAGTTGTACAATAAATACCTTTAGAGGAGAAGCAATAAATTAGTATAAGTACAGATTACTTAAGTTGCAATTTTCAACAGAAAATATTTCAAATACAATCCTCGCAATATAACTTCAATAAAGGAGCCTGAGATGAATGTGTTGAAAACGAATAATTTTTTGATGAACATTTCATAGAAAAAAAATTGTTTATTTTAACGAGATCCACCACATACTTAGTTTTTGTGATGTTCTCAGCAACTTCACTTAGCGCTCTAGGAGCTAAGTGATATTGTAATGAATCTGAAGCCGGCCCTGACCGATATCTCAGCGAGCAAACGCATAACTCATCGGGAATGCACTCGATAAGCCACCGCGAATAATCTAGGCCAGTGCCGAAATCCCTAGAGAGATCCGGAGCGTTCCTTGACGATATAAAAAGGCCGCTCTCCGTCCCGAGCAGTAGTCTGTACTTAGAAAGTTAATCGTGCGTTTAAAGAAAGAAATCTAACTGTGAAGATAAATTAAGCATTAGTTGCTAAGTGTTGTATATAAATTTGTTGTGATAGTGAAATATTGTTGAAAATAAAATTGATTAAGACAGTTAATTCATTAATTCGTTGCAATATGTATCGATATAAAAAATTGTAAATATCTCGAAAACGATCACCTGCAGCATTGTTGAGAAAGTTTACCTTTTTCACTTGGAAAAAGTGTGGAAATTAGGTTTTTTTATGAAAAGTACCAAACGTTTACAGTAAAAAAAGTTAGGGCAATTTGAAATAAATAATGACAGCGTACGCAGCGCCANAAAATGACTTCCTTATTTCATTCAGTGATACACAAATACATTTTGATTCATGCAGAGCTATGGCTCATCGACTGTTTAATTCACTACCGAAAGATATAAAAGGTTCTGAAACAATTTACAGTTTCAATAAACATTCAAAAGAATTTCTGGTCACCAAATGTTTCTATTCCATAGATTAATTTTTCCTAAACTAATTTTTTATCTAATTCGGTTCTCTTGTTCAGTTCATTTGGTTGTTTGTTAAGTCCTAGTGTTTGACTATTTTTATTCTGCTCTTAGTAATGATGCATGATGTATTTTTTTTGTTCAGTCAAAATTAAATTCAGCCAATTTGCATTGGTTACAAAACCGAATTGAATGTACACTGCTTGATGATAATATCTCATTTAGGCAAACATAAGAGTGTCCAAGATTGGCGATGCGTATATCATCAACTTCAGTTGAATAACCAGACTCTAATCCTTAGAGATTGTATGGAAAATGCTTCAAGGTAGCATTACTCCACATATGGGCAATATCCACAATGCGTTTATTTTTAGTGAGCTTCTGACATCGGAATGTATAGCTTTATTACAAGCGGAAATTGACGATATTATTTTAATGATCCACAATAGATTTGCAGAAATAATAAAGCATCTTGAAGGTATTCAACTCTTTTTTTTTGACGATGACAATTTTTTGTTAGTTCAAAGAAGGAATTGGAAAAATGTATCAATAGACGTTCTAGATCTAGATAATTCTTCAATTTGAAAATATTTTAGAAACTTTAAATGTCAATTAAGCACAGATGCTACAAAGTCACCGAATCAATTCGTGTGTGTGTGTCTATAATATTCTCAACTGGATCACATATTTCATTGTTTTGAAAATTGAACTGAATACGAAGAACCATCAATATACTGGGTGTAACATAAGTACGTTAAAATATTCAAGTGACGTATTCCTGAGACGATTTCAAGAAAAAACCCAATTCCCACACCTTTTCCAAGTAAAACAGGTACACCTCCTCAACAACGCTGGAGGTTATCGTTTTCGAGATATTTACAATGTTCTATATCGATGCATATTACTTTGTAGCCAAATTTGATATCAATAATTTTTGTCACTCTCTGCTCGCAAATTAAGTTAATTAAATCGAGTAGGCTATGAAAGTTTGTTCATAAAAATAGAAGTTCGCTGTCACATTTTTAACTATTAACTATTAATTCACAGTTCGGAGTTTATACAGTGATTTTTTGGTACCATGCCCGACTTCACGAATGCTGAAATGGCTAATATGGTTTTTGCATACGGCTTGGCTGACGAAAATTCAAACGAGGCCAGACGCATCTATCAGGAAAGGTATCCCCAACCCGTGACTCCTTGTGCAGCGACATTTTCGAATTTTTTCTGGCGACTTTCCGAATCTGGAAGCTTTGAAACAAATTCTGCAGTAGGACAGCCACGGACTACAAAAACTGTAGAATTGGNGTTACCGAATTTCGTGCAAATATCTTATTTTTTGCAAGAGTTATTTTTAAAAAGCGAACAAAAAAATTCAATTTCAACACCCCGTATCTCCGAAATGAAGCATTTTCATATAGACTTCTTTTCCTAAAATTGTCTCAGGAAAACGTCACTTGAATATTTTAACGTACTTATGTTACACCCTGTGTATCCAAAATAACAGTGGGTAAAGTGTTTCCACCTGAACTTGAGTATGTATATCATATGCATTTCTCCGGAATATGTTCATTATTCGGATTTCAACGCCGGAGTACGTGTTTGTGGAGCTGTTTCTGGACTTTGTCTGCATGTGGCACAGTGGTATATCCCACTGAATCAACTGCAGATAAAGCTCATGACTGGTTGGAATTAATTCTGTTTGTTTGAGATATTCAGATGGTTCACTCCGTCTGAAATGACACTCCCAGTACTGACGAGGAGCTAGTACTCCGGAACCGGTGATCGTACGGACCAAATGAAATCAATTTCAGCTGTATATCTAGTGATGTATAATATACGTATGTGTGTGTGTGTTTTTCGAAAAATTAAAATCATCATCAGCCTTCTCTACGATGAACTGGTGAATATGGTATCATCATTCAAATACAGCCAACAAATAAACTAGACATGTAGAAGATGTAGAAAGATATTCTTACTTTAACGAAATATCGCCCTTGGGATCTCATTTTCATTTGATGATATGGCTTAGATGTTTCTGTCGATCTCATAAATATCATTAGGAGAGTCATCATAACTACTTATTGCGCAGATTTGTTCTTTTGTGAACAGTAAAGCTCAAACATGGAAATCATGAACCAGCCTATTACCTATGAGGGCTATTTACAATAAATCGAAACAGCGTTATCTGGTGGTAGATCATGAAACCAACTCTTATGGGCACTGATATCATATATCTGAATGTTAGAAATTCGGATTTTCATTGTTTGAAAACTGTTAACAGATTTGAAATACATTTGAGTATGGCAAGTTCTGTATCGGTAAAACCCCGATAATCTAGTTCACTTTCTGAGAAATTGAATGAAAAATAATCTCTCATCACAATTCTCCTTTCAATTATGCTTTCATTAGGTAAATAATTTTCCCTAATTGTAAAATCATCACAATCCCACTTTTCAAATGCATTTTTTTGGAAAGTATCATTTGTCCGGTTTAGGGAGGGAAAAATCACATCGTTGTTGTCACAGTAAAATGAAAATCTTGGCAATATGGTTTTGATGAAAGCAGTTGATCATAACTATAGCAATTTGGATGGTTTTGTTCGCAATTATTGCAATGAACTATGAAGAGTATAGCAGCGATAGTCAGTTTGAAAATGTGCCATACGAAATTTACAATGTAGCAGATGCTGCTACCGAACAATTATTGCCTGAAAAATCGATGTCTAGGTATGAAAATGTTGTTATTATTTGTTCTCGAAATGGATGGATATCAAAAACATTATAACAGAGGATGTATCTATTTCGGCTTATTTGAAGCGAAAATCAGAAACTGTCAAATCCTTAACCTTGTGGAACATGTACTCTATGTTGAAAAGTATCATTTCAGTGAAGAAAAATGTAAACATAGTCTCTTCATAGCAACACGTTCACGAGTCGAACTACACGTATTTTCACCGTTCAATTATAACTATAAACCTGAATGCCATAATTTCGTGAAGTAAAAATTGTTTTACTAAAGTTTTCGCTCTTCTAGGATTTTTTCGAAATTTTGAATATCTGCAATAGTTTTTGAGATATTCGCGAAATACCAACGTTTCTTTTTTGTTCATCCAATGTTTTACTTTGCACTATTCAATAACTCGACTCGTAAATTACTGTGACACCACAAACATAACTTCCGATGAAAATGAACTGAAATTATGTGAAATAGTTCTTGTGGACTACACTAAGAGGTCGTTAAATGTCTGCATGGACGAGCATAATAAAAGCAATCAGCAATATAACATTAAGTACTCCGGACTGAAATCGTCTAAGTGAAGAATACTGATTTATAAGAACATTTGAAGAAGCTGTATACATGTTGAATAATAATAACACTTACAGTTAGTCTAGTATGAAGATCCGCAACGTATGGAAACCTCCAATCAAGTTGGAAAACAAGCTATGGTACGCTTAACCAGAAAACCGAAAGAAGGGAGGTAGGTGTACAGAAGAAAGAGGAGAGTGACCACTGAATAATCTGGAAGTTTCAGGGGTAGGACAGTTATTACCTGTGGTTCTCTGTGGATATTAACATACTTGACTTTCAAAATTTTTGCACCTTTCTTGATTTTTCATCAATTCTCAAATTCTGATTTCCATGATTAGTGTATTATTAGCATTTCATCTATTATTTGAGTTACTCATGAATTAATTTCTATTTCAGGTCACAACAATTTCTTTACTGTCCAAATTAGCATTCTTATAGTTTTGAATATCAAACATTTTTTTCCTATAAATTTCAAATCTGTTAACACTTTTGCAGACAGTTGAAGGCTATTAACATTCTAAATTCAACAAGAAACATTGTCAACCACATTCGAATAAGCGTTACAAATGATTCCACCCTTTCTAGTATCAACGTGACGTTTTTGGTTGATTCCACTCATGACTGGTTGGATATGATCCTGATGCATCCAGGGCAATCATTCAGTTCATACTTTTGGATGGTAGAATTGTTTCAAAGGTCGTTTCTATAGGAGCCAGTGCTGTTATAATGATCAGAGCTATTGTGATGAGCAGAATCACTAGTATGTATACTCCCAATATGATTTTTCTCAAGGTTGAGAACTGGAAAAAAAAACAAAATACAATTCTTTACATCAATCAACGCAAAAGTAGTTCAATTTAGTTACAAAATAAATGAATAAAAAATTATGGATGGTCGAGTAATAAAGAAATATAATTTCTTTTATATTCATTCATCTCAGATAAAAACTTCGACTTGTCAATGGAAAGGAAACGTTGAAATTCGTCTTCTCAACAAAATTTTGCTATCAAACCAGCTGAATAATTCTGTGTTAGTGGGCTTAAACAGCAGTCAATTTAATAAAATGAATGAAAACACTTTTGTCTAACTCCCAAACACAAAAGTGTTTTCTTTCATTTTATTAAAGTGGTCATGAGTTACCACAAAATAAACAAGTCATCAATCACACATAATAATCAATTCTCCAAAGGTAAACATGATCATACCGCAGTTATGATACAATAATACAATTTTTTTAAACTCGATGTAATTTCATGTATTATTGGGATAAAATGTGTTAAAATTGAGAAATTAATATACCTATAGGAAAAAGTCTGTCAATCCAACTAACATTAAATGAACCGCGACCCATAAAGCACACTCAAGCTGAATGCGTTTAAGTTTATCTAAAAGTAAATATCGATACCAATTTGTCCCATAATGTTTCACCATACAGACCACTTTTTGATTCAACTCGAATATTTTAGAGGATATGCTAGCAGTGTTATCACCGCTATTCTAAGAACAACCCCTTCTACCCAAAAAATGAGTTCAAAATACACAGCATATTATTGAGCAGCAGTAGCAGAATCTGCATGAGGAGAGGACATAAACTGTGAGCATATCAGCAAACGCATCTGCTCAAACGATGATTTACCCAAACTATGCTCGGCTGAATCTAATGGTATGGTTGTGTATGGTATGGCTGACGTAGACATGTCCTCATATGGGTAGATTGCTGAGGGCATCAAGGTAGAAATATTTCATCTTGAACGTCGAATACGATTCAAGCAACACATTCCAGCTTGGATACATGTCACCATAAAAACATCCGGAAAGCCTTTCTTGATTGATGGGTGCCGTTAGTACCCTGCAGACGTGGAAGGGCGTTTCTCTGAAATGCCTCACAGGAGGCCTACTTTTCATGCCAGACATTTCAGTTAACAAGGATAGTCGCAGATTGATTGTCGGTCACGTCCTCACATGATATATAGATGGAGTAGATCATTCTTCGCAAGGAAATATAGGTCATGGTAGTAAAACACTTACTATTTGCCTGCCCTGCCGCGAATTGGGTGAGGTCATCAGTATTTGATAGAATCCCACTCTTGCCACTGACCTGAGAGATTACCCACCAAATAAAGTAATTGGCTCCAATAAGAAGCTGGATTCATTTGGTCGTGAATTAATAGATTTGAGTCACTATGAACACTCACTTCGAAGAGAATAGACTCATTCACTTCGGAACTACCTAATACACAGTAACAATATGCTGAAGAATAACAAATGACAGCTTTCTGTTTTAAAAACTACACGGTTATACAGCAAGCCTGTATTATTTTTAGGATACGAAAAACGTTAATCATACTATCAAGTTCTGTATCTGTAGAGTGAGTTTAGGCCCACAGCACTCAGGCCACATGTGACCCATTGTGCATTCTCCCGAAGAGTTGTCCTCCTAGGTCATCGTCCATCCGGTCTTTTCCAGGAAGGTGGACAGGTCACTGGGAGACACCTCCTTTATATCGGCAGGTGTAGGCCAAGACTCGCCAAACACACACACTCTCTTTCTGACGATAACTCCGGACACTCGCATAGGACATGCCTGACAGTTTCATCTTCCTGTTCACACATCCTGCATAGAGGTATATTCACTAGCCCTATATTATGGGGGTGTTTCCTTAGTTGACAGTGGCCAGTCAGAAATCCTACTGTTAAGCGTAGATTTTTCCTGATCATCGCCAGATATTTCTTCGGTGTCAGCTTCCCAGAGTGATCCTGGCAAGATTGCATCCTTTGATTTCATCCCATATCTTTAGGAATTGAGCATGGGTGTAACATTTAGCTAGTTCCGCAATTGTTGAAGTCATCAGGCCGTAGGTGCCACTGAGTCCTAAAATTCTTAGTCCAGCCGCTTTCTTGGCTAAAGAGTCGGCAATACGATTACCTTTACTCCTGTCGTGCCCTTTCATCCATTTCAGGATAATGTTGTTATCTACCTAGGCTTTGGCTAAATCTTGGTGACACAGATTGTTATGTTTTTGCCAGATATTCCTTTCCTGGTTATTTCTTTTGTGTCGATTGAGATAACAGCCAGTTATGTTTGAACCACCTGGTATTTTTTACATTCCCCACTTAATCCTTATTAGGCTTAGTGATCTGGAGTACACTCCACATCCTGAGTTTTCCAGTTTGGCTAGCTACATGTCATCAGAAAAACTTCCGGAAAGCTTTTTTTGGCTGATGAGTGCCCTTATTACCCTGCAGACATGAAAGGGCGATTCTCTGAAATACCTCACAGAAGGCCTACTTTTCATGCCAGACATTCGAATTGACGAGGATAGTCGCAGATTGATCGCCGGTCACGTCCTCGCTTGATTGAGAAAAATACATCATGATATATAGATGGAGTGGATCATTCTTTGCAAGGAAATAAAGGTCATGGTAGTAGTACAACACCTGCCGCGGATTGGGTCAGGTTATCAGCGTTTGATAGAATCCCACTCTTGTCACTGATCTGAGAGATTACTCACCAAAAAAGTAATTGGCGCCGATAAGAAGCTGTATTTATTTGGTCGTGAACGACTCGTTCACTTTTAAACCTACCGAATACACAGTCACAATATGCTGGAAAATCACAAATGACAGCTTTCTGTTTGAAAAACTTCACAGTTATACAGCAAGTTATTATTTTCAGAATTAGAAAATCGTTGAATATCGTGCTCTCAAGTTATTAAAACTACCAATATGACGCTGAGGTGTCGGTAAATTATAATCAATTGTTAGTTATCCAACTCAAGAAAAACAAAGTCTTCGACTCCATATATTGATGTAGCGATATAATTGAAGTGTTTTTTGCAGATTCCGTATTGGTCTTATCTTCCACTTGGAACGTTTCAATGGTCATGAAAATATCTACCTTTATAATAAACGCTATAATATATGCACTCACAAATCCAATCACACAATCCAAGTAAAGAAAAGGTATACGAACTCCAGAACTAATCTATCAAGTAGACACCCCGAATTAAAAACACCACAGTCGAAACCCATTTGAAAGTTAAGAAAAGAGATATTTTATAACCTTCACATATCCATATATTGAAAAATTTTCGAAATATTATTTCAAATATGCTGAATTCATGCGAACATATAGTTATTCATTTACTTACCGGAGCATCCATCCCTTGGTCTGCATACGCAGAATTTCTTCCGGAACCAGTTAGATCTTTCATAGGGAATGAAGACACCCTACTGTCTGAAGACTTCTCAGAAATACAATTCAAGACCTGCAAATCATTTATATTCAATCTGGATGAACATTTTACAAGAAAAAAGTGGTATAAGAACATATAAAGAATGTTTACTTTAAAAAATTATTGTAAACAAAGTATTGAAATTTCCAGAAATTTCATCATGCAATCTTCTTTTGTATGTATCTAAGAAGGGCTCCACGAAGCGGAAAAAAATTACGGTAATTATTTAAATATTTATTTCACTTTGAACGATGAAGGAATACGAGAAAAAATATTTTTTTACGTAAATAAAAACAGAACTATCAAGTTATGAAACTGATCTTATCTCTGAAATATTTCGAACACTCACCGACAGTAACAGATGAGAAATAACATGCACCACAACATAGGCTACTAGAATGTAGTCCATCAATTTCGGTAGCTCAGCTTTGGTTAAGGTTACAGCAAAGAACAAGGTCACAACTGCAAGAAAGAATACAATTAAATATTCAATATCGGTATTAGTATCATTTTTTCGAAAATAACCACCTACTTGCTATTATGTGAGCTGTGTTTCCAATCAGCCAATGGGCCCAGTTGAAAATGGATCTTTTAGAAGTACCAGGATGCGGCAGAATAATTCAATATTACATGGTCCAAGTTCATGTCAATTTTTTTTATATTTATACATTTATTGAGAAAATACATCCAACATATCATGAGACCCAATTATAGGAGTACATAATGCAAAATGAAAAGCATATATTAGTCATGAAAAACAAAAATTGAAGTGCATTATATATCGCTTTCCTAAACTAAGATAAGGGTAAGAAGAATATAGCGATATTTTGTAGACTATTGTAGCTTCTACACATAGATGTCAAAGGACAGTGAAAGTGGTGTTTTGATTTATGTACGTCGATGTAAAAAGTTATAAGTGACCTGGAAGTTTAACGAGGAACATTAAAACTCAATGATGAAAGTAAAGTAGAAGAGTCGATTTGCCAAAGCTTGATAATTTCATGAGCAATTGATGATCTGAAACTCGATCAAATGTTTTGCTGAAGTCCATATACACCACATCAACTTTTTTACGTTGGTCCAGTTTGTCACTGGCACTGTCACGACACTTCACAAAACCATGTTGGAATTTGGAAATTGTGTTTCTTACGTGCTCATACATGAGATTCGTTTTTCTTTCAACTTTGATAATCAAATGCTATCAGTAGTAATAAAAACTATAATTACAATATATCAGAATGGTAAATAAACAAACATAACCTTACGAAGGTAACGACTTGTAATGAGGAAAATACAATTTTCCGGAATAGGTAATCACTTAGTTATTTCGTACCAATACTGAGAGTTCAAATAAAGCTTCCTTATGGAAATTCAAATGAATTTTTTTTTCAATACAGTCCCATTTATCCCATTGGGCACGTTAGACTTGATTCCAGGGCTACATCGCTTCACCAATAACGTCAATTGTTACAAGCTTTCTTATTCAACATTCTATATATGTTTGTATTATCACAGTGAACAGTTTTCGGCATCAAGAGAACTTCCATTTTGAGTTGAGAATAAAATCCTAGGATCTCCCAATGATCGAAATTATTTTAGTGTATTTTAGTGTAATTATTGTGTGTAAGATCACTTTAAAAATCCAGAAATCCTGGAAACGATCACGTTCCTTACTCATCAGCGCATACCATTGACGTATTGCTAAAACATGCCTTTCTAAAAATTTTTGGCATTTATTCTCTACGCTGAATATCGTCTACACTTGCTTGATTGGTGTTCGCTAGGTATGTTTTTTTTTTGGAAGTTATTCAGAAAGGGTACAGCTTTCCTTTTAGCTCCACCCACCGATGGAACATATCGATAGAAAATTACTTGAAATTATTTATCATACCAAATTTTTGCGCAAGCTGGTGAAATGAAAGTAGTGCAAGTAAGTGATTCTCGAATTATAGAAACTTCCATATCTATCGATCTGAACACAAAAACTACAGACGTAGTCCTTCGTCTATTAAAAAAATTGGAAGCCTGAAGTTTATTATGCTAACCGAAATTAAGAGCTTCGTATTCTGGGATGAAAGCCATTTCACTGAATATAATTACAGAAAATAATAATATTCAAATGTCACTAGAACAATACATAAAACACACATAGAAAAATATATAACAGGTCAGCAATCAAAATTGAAATCACAACAATCGAAAACATATATGTATGAATATACATACGAAGTCCGGCTATTAAATAACGAGACCGCGCGCCTAACGCAGTCTCGTTACTATTATGTAATTTTTGCAGTAGCAGTTTGAAAGGAACGTGTTTTTTTCTCGTGCCGAAAATCATATGTGACGAAAAACAGAAGCACCGAATCAATCTCTAATTTCTCGTCAAATCGAAAAAAACTCCGACTGAATGCTATAAATTGTTGCAAGAGGCCTATGAGGACAATTATCTGTCTCGTGCATGTGTTTTTGAGTGGTATAAGCGCTTCAGTGAGGGCCAGAGAGCACTGAAGATGACCAGAGCCCAGGTCGCCCTGTCACTGTTTCAACTCCGGAAACAGTGACCAAAATCAACAAAATTGTGAGTGCAGATCATCGAATAAGCATCCAGATGATTGCCAAAGCTGTAAATGCCAATAAAGAAACGGGTGATGCCAAAAAACCTGACTCCTGACCAAAATCTATTTGGTCACCAGGTCTGCTCTTTGAAAGGTTAGAAGAAGATCCCTGACTGATGAGAAGCATCATTACTCGCGACGAAACGTGGATTTTTCAATACGATGTTGAAACAAAGCGGCAATCGATGTATTGGAAGACGCCTGAATCGCCCAGAATCAAAAAGCAAGGATGTCCAAATCAAAATTCAAGGCAATGTTGATCGTTTTTTTCGACAATAACGGTATCGTGATGACTGAATGGATTCCAGAGGGTCAGACTGTCAACTAGACTTACTATTTGTCAGTCTTGGCAACACTGCAAGAACAAGTTCGTAAGAAACGGCCTGAGTTGTGGAAGAACAACTCGTGGATTTTGCACTAGGATAACGCACCTGCCCTTAAAGCGCTATCTGTGAAGCGGTATTTGACGGATAAACGCACTCCAGTGCTCGGACATGCACCGTACTCGCCAGATTTGGCACGGTGAGATTTTTTTTTGTTTCCGAAGATGAAATTTGTTTCGAAAGGAATCCGATTTGAGTCTATGGAAGCGGTACAAAACTGCTTTATCAGAAAGACATTCGCAAAATCCATATATCCCACCTTGAATTCAACTGTTCTGAAATTTGAATGCAGAAGTGAAAAAATTAAAGTTTCATTTGCCGCTATTATAGACAGTGGTACAAAAAAAAAGAAGATACTGACTTGTGTAAATTGGGAAAATCAAGCCCGTACTTCAAGGGAATTCGAGAGGAGCTAAAAGTCCAAACCTTCATAGCAATGAAGTACAATGAACAATTCCAATGATACTACAAAACATATTTTCAAATCTTCTCTTTCAAATCAAATCTCTTATGTTACGGACGGGCTGGAGATCTATGAGAGAATACAGTTGTTGATAATTATATGTGTGGCTCTCGGGTGTAAATCCGGATTCAAATATATCCAACCTTAGGAATTTTCTCTGAAATTGTTCTAACATATGGATTTTGCTTGCATATAATGTGTTTCATATAGTAAGACACATATTCGAAAAAAAATCTTATTAGAGAGCAGTACCGAGTTTATGAGCATTCGATATCAGTTGAGTCTGAGGTGCATTTTCTTAGGGGGCCCAGCAGTTTGAAATATTCCTTAACAGTTCACATTGGATTTGAATCGCTGGAGATTAAATCCATTCGGAAAAAAGTTCTCAGAAAGTTTATTCCACGTAAACGCAATTCTCCAAATGGAAGAGTTCTTGAACAGTGAAGTTCGAGGTGTACCGAGTTGAACCACAAAAACGATAAGCAGCCATAGTCCGTCGCGTATTTTTGATATGTACCGCTCTTGGTGGAATCGAATGTGCCAAATCACTTGAACAATTCCCGTGAAAGTATCTATAGAAGAGAGACGAATCTCCAACCTTTCATCGATGTTCCAGACTATCAAGGTTGCAAGTGATGTTCGCGTCTCCAATCAGGCGAACGGCTCTTTTCTGGATGGAATCCAGCAGCTTCAGGGTATGCTTAAGAGCGAAACTCCATACATGAGAAGAATACTCCACAAAGGTCTGATCTGAGCTTTATGAAGCATCAAAAGTTGCTGAGGTGTGTACAGTTTTCTGGATCGGAACAGTGTTCCAAGCTTTTGAGATGCAGCCTTTGCAATTCCAGCGACATGTTAGTGCCAAGACATATTGGTGTCCATTTTAACCCCCAAAAAACGTATCGAAGCAGAAAGTGGAATTGTCTGACCTGACATTATCATATACGGTTCGGAGACACTCATATTTTCAGAGAAAATCGATGCCTGGGTTTTTGTAGCATTGAATTGAAACTAATTAGTTTCACCCCAATTCGAAATTACTTTTAGATCCTCATTAAGATATGTAACCTTCTTTCTGCTGCCGGTGAAGATGTGCCTCCGCCGCCGATGTCGTGGAATCCAATTGGAATAACGAAACAAGTGTGCTGTCGTCAGCAAAGCAATATATTGGATTCTTGTTTTTTGTAATAAGTCGTTGATATACAATAGAAATAGGGATGGAGACACTAGAGATACGTGGGAACACCAGCGTTGATGGTGACTTGACGGTCACTTGCACGGAACGTTCTTTCAGGAAGCTGGATAGCCATACAAAAAATTATCCGACGAGCCATAGCTTGGCCAGCAAACCCTCATGCCACACACGGTCAAAGGCTTTAGAAATATCAAGCGCAGCATCTCTTGACTCTCCATGTTTCTTGATTGCTTTATTCCAAATATGAATGACATGATAGGAAGTCGCCTGTTGACCTTTATTTCCGAAAGCTATATTGATGATCGCTCTAGAAGTTGAAGTCTTCCAAATGTTCAAGGATATGGTGGTTTGCGGCTTTTTCCATGATTTTCGATATCACTGACAGCAAAGCCAGTGGTCTATAGTTATTTGAAAGATTGTTCTTGCTCTTTTGGGAACAGGCTGAACGCGAGCAATCTTTCAACAAGAAGTGAACACCCCTATCTTGTATAATAGGTCTGGAAAATACTGGTGTGAGTTCATTTGCGCACTTATTGAGTATGATAAGGGACACTTCATCACGTCCAGACGCCTTGTTGATATTGAGTTGTTTCAGAATTCGCCTGACTAGCAGTTGTCGAAAAGTAATTTCCGGCATTGTGGATACTAGTGTGGGAATAGTGAGTGGTGCCTTTCCCAGAAAATCGACTATGGAGTGAGACGCAAATTGTTCAGCTAGTAGATTTGCTTTTTTTATGGTTGTTGTTGCAACGAAACCATCCGCTTGGGTTAGTGGTGGAATTGTGGATTTTGTAAAGTTTTGATTAACAGCTTCAGCTACCGACCAGAAGGTTCTAGACCCGTTGGGACTGGTATGTGGGAATGAAACGAGAGTGAGTCGTCTGGTAGTAAACATTGTCAAAATGTGAAAAGTAATATTACTGAAGCGACCTATTGTTAGATTTATTGTGAAATAGCATTCAAGTGTATAAGGTTCCATACCGTTGACAGTACACCAAATAGATAAATGATTTAGCCACTCTGGAGTATAATACAAGTCGTATTGTGAATCGATTTTTTGCAAACTTCCAACTGAGGAGATAAAAAAATTTACATTGAAAAAACAATACTGATGTCTCCCTCCATACAAAAATTGAATAGCAATGACTCAGAATATCCTTAGAATACTCTGGATTGAACTGAACTATCAGTAACAAGTAACAGTCTCCAGAAATAAAACGTAAAACTCCATTTGATGGTTTCATAACAACTTTAGGGATGAATTTGATTATTTCGAAACGTCGACCAAAGAGAAAAATACAGATTCTAACTACAAGGACCTATCTCAAATGCTACTGACAACTCGTTTTTTTTCTCGGGCAAAACACAAGCACTACACAAAATCCTTAAGGCGCTCTCAGCGGTGTCTGTGCGAAAGTAGCGATTCATATTGGATTTGAATCTCTGGAGGTTAAATTCATTTGGAAAAACTTTCTCAGGAAGTTTATTCCACATAATCGCTGTTCTTCAGATGAAAGAGTTCTTAAACAGAGAAGTTCGAGGTGTACTGAGTTGAACCTCAAAACGATGATCAGCCACAGTCCGTCGCATATTTTTGATATGTACCGCTCTTGATGGAATCGAATGTGCCAAGTCACTAAAACACTTCACGTGAAAGTATCTATAAAACAAGAAACAAATCCTCAACCTTTTTTCGATATTCCAGGCTACCAACGTTCCACGTGATATTCGCGTCTCTAGTCAGGCGGATGGCTTTTTTCTGGATGGAATCCAGCAACTTCAGGGTATTTTTGGGGGCAGAGCTCGATATATGAGAACAATACTCCAAAGAAGGTCTGATCTGAGCTTTATAAACCATTATTGGTCATTATTACGCCTTGCTCAAAGACGAAACGGACTGGTTTAAGTTTGACGATAGTCATGTCACGAAGTGTTCTGGCGATGTATTGAATCTATTGGAGCCTTTGGAGACACCCTACATTAAATTTTATGAGAGAGAGGACATTGGCAGATCAAGATCTTCAGACGATGTAGTGCTGCAGGTTTTTCCGGGTTTTCCTGCAGCTGAAAAAGCAAATGCGCCACTGGAATCAATGAAGTCGCCCCGGAGCGCCAATTAATTTTTATTGTTGTTTTTATTTTAATCGTTGTTTTACAATAAAAATTATTCTTGAAGATGTATAAACCATCAAAAGTTGCTGATGTGTGTACAGTTTTCTGATTCGTAACAGTGTTGCGAGCTTTTGAGAAGCAGCTTTTGCAATTCCAACGACAAGATTGTGCCAAGACATACTGGTGTCTATTTTAACCCCTAACAAACGTATCGAATCAGAAAGCAGAATCGTCTGACCTGACATTATTATATCCGGTTCGGAAACATTTATCTTTCTGGAGAAAACCTATACCTGGGTTTTATTATGACTCTGCGCTGAATGAAAATAATGAGCAGCGTCTGAGTTTGCATAAGAGTATTGAATATCGTTTTGACAAAATGGTTGAGGTTTTCAGTGGTACTATTTCTTCCTGACGTTTCGTTGGCGCGAGTGGCTAGCTTCTTCAGAAGTTTATGCATCCCGAGTTTATCTCCGATGGCTGGAGTTTACCGCTGCGTAAATCCTGTTTCTGTTTACTCAGGCCGTTTGGAGTGCTTAATACCCGTACCTGGAGTCTCTTTTAGAAATTGATAAGGATATTGCAAAATTTGGATCTCATTATGAGTTACATGACTACAACACAAGAAATAAAAATCATCTGATATTGACCCAGTTTAGGCTTTCTTCATTAGTTAGTAATTCAATTGATTCAAACTTGAACTTGAAGTAATTTCAGCACTTATTTTTATATGCACCAATTTTATGATAGTCTTATTAGGCTATTTATATATTTTTTCTCATGTTTATCAATACTGTGTACCCTCCCGCTGTATATGTTCATGTATTGTGACTTGCTAACAAATATTTTCAACATAACGTAGTCAAATCGATCTATCTATCGATCTATCATTAGATAAAATATCACAAATGAAAGCAAACTCACCGCAAACCACAAATCCTTGCCCATCATGGTGGTTCCGACCCAGGTTTGTCGGTAATACCTAGCCAGCAAAATGCCAAGGGAAGCGGTTCCTATCCATGCAGCTAACATAAGGGAACCGTGTAATCTCACCAACAATTTGGACGCAGCTCCGACTTCGGAGGTATCGGATAGAGCTCGAGCTTCTCCACTAGCCAGAAAGCCAATGTCGTGGAAGCCCACCGATCCATCTATAACGTTATGGTAAATTTTGTTGTTGAAACAAACAATAATAATAATAATCAATATACTCCATTATACCTACTTATATATGATACTGTCAAGACAATATATTCATTTAAAATTATTAAGTGTGTCTAGTCTTACCTCTGATAGAGGATCCAGCTGCTATAAGTATATTATAAACGTCAGAAACTAGATTGAAAGTTACTCCGTTGACGTTGGTTACTACGTTTCGTCGTACTTTGCAATAGATGACACCATCAATCATAGAAGCGTTCAGCAATTCAATGCCCAGTCTTGGCTACAAAATAATATCAGTGGAATTAAACTGTTATCTCCTAGGTAGGTACAGATTTAAAAACATCGTGGTAAAATTGACCAATTAGAAAATATGATAAAACTGACCGATACTTGATGAAAATTTATTATAACGTATTCAAAAACTCTACAATGTGGGATTTCCACTTGACAGTTTACAATGCAGCGACACGTGTTTCGCTATACAATGGCATCTTCAGGCGACACAATTCTGACTTAAGAAATTCTGTCATGATTTTGTAGTAAGTTGAATCCTAATGATTATTACTTCCTAAAAAATGTCTGCATGATAAATGCATTATATAATACAGTGCTAGTCAAAAGTCCCCTCCCCCCCTCGTATCTTTTGAACGGGTATACTTCTAATAATGAAATTTGGAGGGTGGAAATAAACGGATGTAGGCTTCTTAACTGGTCATAACAGGTGACGCAATAGTCATNGGCCTTGTGACGTCATTTATGACTATTGCGTCACCTGTTATGACCAGTTAAGAAGCCTACATCCGTTTATTTCCACCCTCCAAATTTCATTATTAGAAGTATACCCGTTCAAAAGATACGAGGGGGGGAGGGGACTTTTGACTAGCACTGTATATTTACCTTCCTAGGAACAACTCATGGAACTGGAGAATGATGATCACAAGTTCAACCTGAGGCCTCATTTTACCTCACTTTTGGGTGATCACTCGGGTTATCTATCACCCAAAGATGATTGTGAATACCAACAATCGAAACGTCGTGAAGTAACTTGGCTTTAGATATTTTGATTTTCATTCCGTTTCAATTGTTCGATTCCCAATTTTTTGCTTAAGATACATAGATAATTTTATTTCTGACCGATTTCAATAAAATTTTGTTCATTTTTGAAACGGAAAAATGTACCAATTCATTACCTTCCCGGTATATTTGAATCAGGTACCGTTGATTATAGTAGAGTTTTCTTGTTGCTAGGTTGTTGCTATGTTACTTGTTTATAAACAGAACTTTGTTATCAAGCTGTGTTTGCGGTGAAAACGTGTTTTCTACCCCAAATATAATGGAGGATATTTTGAAAAAAGCTGAACAAGCAAGAGAATCATTAATTCCATCGAAAAGTGAAGCCGTATANCAAGGATCTTTTTTTTAAATTCAAAAATATTTATAGTTTACGATCTACACAGTTTTGCAAATCGTTTATTCTGAACTTAATTGCTTTTTCCTTCGAATTTTTTCCACATTTTTTTGTATGAAGATGGAGAAGTAAATACCCAAAAACGTTTCATCCTCACCACAAATATCTTCATTGAATATAGAATAATCTCAAGATTTGCACAAGTGACTGCAAGCATCTTATTCAGCTACACGGGTAATACGAGAAAAAATATTTTTTTACGTAAATAAAAACAGAACTATCAAGTTATGAAACTGATCTTATCTCTGAAATATTTCGAACACTCACCGACAGAAAAATAACCACCTACTTGCTATTATGTGAGCTGTGTTTCCAATCAGCCAATGGGCCCAGTTGAAAATGGATCTTTTAGAAGTACCAGGATGCGGCCTGAAGTAAGCTCCAATGGGCTGGAAGAAGCACAGGATCGTCGTGATGGTGCCCAAAATAGCATGGGGATTGTTTTCGGCAGACCAAGCCTTCAGTTCAACAAATATCAACACGAAAGCAACTAAGGTGAATGACCAAGTTAGGACCATGAAAACTCGATGCCACTGAAATGATAAAAAAAATCGTCACTTACGTTATCGTTATACTCGTATATCGTTATAATGTCTTTAATAAATTGATGTACTTTTACCACACAAATTTAACATCATGTAGGTTTTCCATATAAAACAGTAAAATATCCACCAGCTCAAACAAGATGTTTTGGGAAAATACTTGCCAAACCGATGAAGGATATTTAAGTAAAACTTCACATTTTTGTAAAAGAACACTCTGAAATTATCAATTGTGAATAAATATCAAATAAAGTTTTTTTTGTATTGTAAGTTTATATATTTTTAAAAGAGAACGTAAAATTGAAGATTGACTAAAAACTATATCATTGAAGTCAGTGATAGTAAAGAGGTTAGTTACATTTGATGACAAAAAAATAATTCTAGTAGCACAACACTGAGATGCTATGAGGAATAATTCAATATTACATGGTCCAAGTTCATGTCAATTTTTTTATATTTATTTATTTATTGAGAAAATACATCCAACATATCATGAGACCCAATTATAGGAGTACATGATACAAAACGAAAAGCTTATATTAGTCATGAAAAACAAAAATTGAAGTGCATTATATATCGCTTTCCTAAACTAAGTTAAGGGTAAGAAGAATATAGCGATATTTTTTAGACTATTGTAGCTTGTACACATAGATGTCAAAAGACAGTGAAAGTGGTGTTGTGAGTTAGGTATGTCGATGTAAAAAGTTATATGTGACCTGGAAGTTTAACGAGGAACGTTAAAACTCAATGATGAAAGTAAAGTAGAAGAGTCGATTTGATTATGTAAAATTTTGTATATAAAAATCAAGTCGTTAATTTGGCGACGTTTTTTAAGTGATGTATAGTTGAACTCTTCTAAGAGTTCTAAGTGAAGAAATTTCAGAAACTTTTTCTGAACAATGAATAATATATAGAGCTAATTACCTATAATGATGAGAACGATTTGCTATTATGCATCACAAATCCTAGCATTTTCATTGCGCGGAATGTTATTTGTTCGATATGTGACGAGAACGTTAGTTTTTCATCAAAGATAATACCCACATCTCTTGATTCGGTAATTCTTGCCAATGTTATATAATCCAATTTGTAGTTATATATTTGTACTGAAGATTTTTTTGAAAAAGTCATAGTTTTACATTTACCTATGTTTAATAATAATTCATTTTCCAGGGAGCAATCATGTAACTTGGTGATATCGTTTTGTAATGATATACAATCGGAGTAGTCTTCAATCTCCCTAAAAATATTCATATCATCAGCAAAAAGTAGTTTTTTAGAGTTGATACTATCAAAAATATCATTAACAAACTGAAGGAATAATAGTGGACCCAAGTTTAAACCTTGAGGAAACCCGGAAGTTGCATTAAATATAAACTATTTCATTCCTACGTATTCCACAAATAATTTTATCTCACTAAGATATGATTTCAGTAGATATTGGAGGCTCCTCGATATGACAAAGCTTGATAATTTCATGAGCAACTGATGATCTGAAACTCGATCAAATGCTTTGCTGAAGTCCATACACAGCACATCAACTTGTTTACGTTGATCTAGTTTGTCACTGGCACTGTGCCACGACACTTCACAAAACCATGTTGGAATTTAGAAATTGTGTTTCTTACGTGCTTATACATGAGATTCGGTTTTTTTTTTTAAATTTGATGATCAAATGCTATCAGTAGCAATGAAAACTATAATTACAATATATCAGAATGATAAATAAACAAACATAACCTTACGAAGGTAACGACTTGTAATGAGGAAAATACAATTTTCCGGAATAGGTAATCACTTAGTTATTTCGTACCAATACTGAGAGTTCAAATAAAGCTTCCTTATGGAAATTCAAATGAATTTTTTTTTCAATACAGTCCCATTTATCCCATTGGGCACGTTAGACTTGATTCCAGGGCTACATCGCTTCACCAATAACGTCAATTGTTACAAGCTTTCTTATTCAACATTCTATATATGTTTGTATTATCACAGTGAACAGTTTTCGGCATCAAGAGAACTTCCATTTTGAGTTGAGAATAAAATCCTAGGATCTCCCAATGATCGAAATTATTTTAGATGTATGAATTATTGTGTGTAAGTGAATCTGATCCATTTCTAACAGATCACTTTAAAAATCGAGAAATCCTGGAAACGATCACGTTCCTTACTCATCAGCGCATACCATTGACGTATTGCTAAAACATGCCTTTCTAAAAATTTTTGGCATTTATTCTCTACGCTGAATATCGTCTACACTTGCTTGATTGGTGTTCGCTAGGTATGTTTTTTTTTTGGAAGTTATTCAGAAAGGGTACAGCTTTCCTTTTAGCTCCACCCACCGATGGAACATATCGATAGAAAATTACTTGAAATTATTTATCATACCAAATTTTTGCGCAAGCTGGTGAAATGAAAGTAGTGCAAGTAAGTGATTCTCGAATTATAGAAACTTCNCAAGTAGGGGTTTGCAATTTGAACTTTTGGTGTTTTGATGGGTGGGGTCTAGGGGGTTGATGGGGGTGAGTTTTCTTTCATGTCACTTCAGTTCCCTCTTACTATTATTATTATTAGAGAGCAGTACCGAGTTTATGAGCATTCCATATCAGTTGAGTCTGAGGTGCATTTTCTTAGGGGGCCCAGCAGTTTGAAAGATTCCTTGACAGTTTACATTGGATTTGAATCGCTGGATATTAAATCCATTTGGAAAAAAGTTCTCAGGAAGTTTATTCCACGTAAACGCAATTCTCCAAATGAAAGAGTTCTTGAACAGAGAAGTTCGAGGTGTACTGAGTTGAACCTCAAAATGATGAGCAGCCACAGTCCGTCGCGTATTTTTTATATGTACCGCTCTTGGTGGAATCAAATGTGCCAAATCATTTGAACAATTCCCGTGAAAGTACCTATAGAAGAGAGAAAAATCTCCAACCTTTCATCGATGTTCCAGGCTATCAAGTTTGCACATGATGTTCGAGTCTCCAATCACGCGGATGGCTCTTTTCTGGATGGAATCCAGTAACTTGAGGGTATGTTTGGGAGCAGAGCTCCATACATGAGAACAATACTCCAAAGAAAATCTGATCTGAGTTTCAAAAGTTGCTGAGGTGTGTACAATTCTCTGGTTCGCCTTTGCAATTCCAGCGACATGATTGTGCCAAGACATACTGGTGTCCATTTCAACCCCCAACAAACTTATTGAAGCAGAAAGTGGAATTGTCTGACCTGGCATTATCGTATACGGTTCGGAGACATTTATCTTTTTGGAGAAAATCGATGCCTGGGTTTTTGTGGCATTGAATGGAAACTGATTAGTTTCACCCCAATTCGAAATTACTTCTAAATCCCCATTAAGATATGTAACCTCCTGCTGCCGGTGAAGATGTGCCTCCGCCGCCGATGTCGTGGAATCCAATTGGAATAACGAAACAAGTGTGCTGTCGTCAGCCAAGTAATATATTGGATTCTTGTTTTTTTTTGTAATAAGTCGTTGATATATAATAGAAATAATGTTGGAGACAATATAGATACTTGGGAATACCAGCGTTGATGGTAACTGAGGTCTGATCTGAGCTTTATAAACCATTATTGGTCATTATTACGCCTTGGTCAAAGACGAAACAGGGTGGTTTAAGTTTGACGATAGTCATGTCACGAAGTGTTCTGGCGATGTATTACATCTATTGGAGCCTTTGGAGACACCCTACATTTCATTTCATGAGGGAGAGGACATTGGCAGATCAAGATCTTCAGACGATGTAGTGCTGGGTTTTCCTGCAGCTGAAAAAGCAAATGCGCCACTGGAATCAATGAAGTCGCCCCGGAGCGCCAATTAATTTTTATTGTTGTTTTTATAGTTTAGGCTTTCTTCATTAGTTAGTAATTCAATTGATTCAAACTTGAACTTGAAGTAATTTCAGCACTTATTTTTATATGCACCAATTTTATGATGGTCTTATTAGGCTATTCATATATTTTTTCTCATGTTTATCAATACTGTGTACCCTCCCGCTGTATGCAGGCTGATTCATGGTGGATGGCACATTAGACCAGACAACGGATCACTTTGAAAATTTAATGGAGGGCATATTCGGACATTCTCTAGCCAACTAAAATATTTTCGACAATGCGGTGTTGCCGCTTCTATTAGAAAGCAGTAGCAACTTTGATTTTTCAAATGGAACACTCTGTATATAATATTATTTTTGGAATCTCCAACAATTGCCCGATGAAAGCAAACTCACCGCAAACCACAAATCCTTGCCCATCATGGTGGTTCCGACCCAGGTTTGTCGGTAATACCTAGCCAGTAAAATACCAAGGGAAGCGGTTCCTATCCATGCAGCTAACATAAGGGAACCGTGTAATCTCACCAACAATTTTGACGCAGCTCCGACTTCAGAGGTATCGGAAAGAGCTCGAGCTTCTCCACTAGCCAGAAAGCCAATGTCGTGGAAGCCCACCGATCCATCTATAACGTTATGGTAAATTTTGTTATTGAAACAATAATAATAATAATCAATATACTCCATTATGCCTACTTATATATGATACTGTCAAGACAATATATTTATTTAAAATTATTAAGTGTGTCTAGTCTTACCTCTGATAGAGGATCCAGCTGCTATAAGTATATTATAAACGTCAGAAACTAGATTGAAAGTTACTCCGTTGACGTTGGTTACTACGTTTCGTCGTACTTTGCAATAGATGACACCATCAATCACAGAAGCGTTCAGCAATTCAATGCCCAGTCTTGGCTACAAATCAATATCAGTGGAATTAAACTGTTATCTCCTAAGTAGGTATGGATTTCAAAACGTGGTAAAATTGGCCAAATATAAAATATGATAAAACTGAACGATACTTGATGAAAATCCATTATAACGTATTCAAAAACACTGTAATGTGGTATTTCCACTTTGACAGTTTACAATGCAGCGACAAGTGTTTCGCTATACAATGGCATCTTCAGGCGTCACAATACTGACTTAAGAAATTCTGTCATGATTCTGCAGTGAGTTGAATCCTAGTGATTATCACTTCCTATAAAATGTCTGCATGATAAATGCATTACATAATATATTTACCTTCCTATCACCCGGGTTATCACCCAAAGACGATTGTGAATACCAACAATCGAAACGTCGTGAAGTAACTTGGCCTTAGATATTTTGATTTTCATTCCATTTCAATTGTTCAATTCTCAATTTTTTGCTTAATTTTTAATTTATTGCAATTCCATTTTAGGGTTTTTTGTTACTCAATATATTTGTTATTTTTAGCAATTCATTTCAATTTTATTTGTTCTTTCTCTTATGTATATATCAGAATTCTAAAGTATACAGTGCATTTCTTTAATGTCCCTCCCTTTTATTTTTTGAACGGGTTAACCCAAAAAAAAAATTGAGATAATGAAATTAATGCATGAATACTTTATTTTGAAGTGAAATTGACAGATGAAACTTTCAAGATGGCGACTGGGCGCCAACTGGGAAAAAAATTGAATGGAAAAGGGGGTCTTGTGAAACATCATTTTGAAGATCCTGACAAATACTTCACAACCCTAGAATATTAAAACAATATCTTCACCTACTACAAAATGGTGGAACATTTAATAATTTCCTGAAGACAAACACATTAATATCGATATTTCTAGACATATTCCTTTTTATCTGCCATATGGCAATTCTAACAACCCGATAAGGTTTGTTGAGTTATTTTTTGTTTATAAAAACGACAAAAAATGTCAGTTCTACAATGAACACCATTATTCAGTAAGAATATTCTCATTTAGTTTACCGTTTCACTAGTAGAAAGGTACGACGTCAACAATCTCTAAAATGGTCAATTCTCGTCCATTGGAAAGAAAAATTGAATTTTTATTAACGGTGCGACGCGTAACTTTCACGAGACCGAAAGGATTTTCAATGAACGTTTTTCGAATCGTCCTATCTCAAGAAAATATTTGGGGAAACTTGTATCCAAATTCACAACTACCGGTAGTGTACATAACAAAAAGCCCCCAGGTCATCCGTCCATTCCTGAAAAACAGCACGTGCAGAAAATTGATGAGATGGTAGTAAATCCTGAATAGTCTACTTATTCCGTCGCGAATGTTTGTCATTTGTCTCCTTCTACTGTGTGGAGACGAAAAGCATTGCAAGGCATCCTACCTATCTCCACAATATTTGTTCTAGTGACGAATGTACATTTTTTCAAATGGCAATGTTCACAGACAAAATTGCCGTTATTGTAGTGACACCAACCCTCACGTTTTCCGGGAAACACATACCCAATATCCAGAAAAAAATTAACGTTTGGGCAGGAATATTGGGAAACTATATTGTAGGACCTCTATTTATTGATCTAAATTTAACAGGGGACCTGTATTTGAATGTGCTGGAAACTACTGTTGACCCTCTCATCACTGAAATCGTCGAAGCGAATTCCAATGAATTCGATATGGATATTGTATTCCAACAAGATGGAGAACCACCACATTACTCCAGACAAGTAAGAAACTATTTGGATACTGCTTTTTTCGATCGTTGGATTGGCCGTCGAGATCCTACAGAATTGCCAGCCCACTCGCGAGATTTGACACCTTTGGACTCTTTTATGGGGCTATTTAAAGCAAAAGAAGATGGCGCCCAATCGTCATCTTGAAAGTTTCATCTGTCAACTCCTCTTCAAAATGAAGTATTCATGCATTGATTTCATTACCCCAAATTTCAATTTCTTCAGTTGATCCGTTCAAAAAATTAAAGTGGGGAAGCACTGTATATAAGAGCTACAAATAATTTTCAGAAATTTAAAACCACATTTCAAACTAAGATGCTTCGCAAGAATTAAACTGTTCATGTTTGGTACACCATTGGCAAATCTGTGATGCTAGTTTTGCTGTTATTCATGAACAGATTTCAATTTGGAATTTTTTTACGTTCATCGAGATTCCTTTTCTTAAAATTGAAATTACCAACATGTGCTCATATTCAAACTCACATTACTCAGCCGATCAGCTCGATAGGGATTTGTTCCGGTCCACGACATGTACGTTTCAACTCCGTTTCCAGCTTTGACGCACTCGATAACAGAATCTCGTCCCATCTTGTCATCATCAGACAACCCAACCCCCACCCAAGCGGCACTGCGGTCAGCCTTCATTTCGAAATCGTATTTATCCCCGGTAACAGTCACGGCGACAACAGCTTTGCAGTTCTTCGACCTGTCGCAGTTTACTGGTGTCCCGAAGCATAACTTGGTGTCCCCGCATCCGTCGTAGAAGGGATCGAACTCGGTAGAGGCTTCCGTAACGGGCTCTGGGGAGAAGTAGGGGGGCGTGGTCGAAAATGGTCTTCTGGGGGGTGTGTTAGGCACAGCTGATGAGTAGCTCAGTAAGGACACAGGTTGGGCACTGGCTTCTCTGGAGAGATCATGAAAACCCACGGAATTTGCTAGAAAAAATATAATTTCATCACGAATTCATTTCAGTTTCATTTGAAAAATCAGAAAATGAGGGTAACTTCACTAATCGGGGTCATTGTTGCAAGCTTCTTTATAAAAAACAAATATTGAATGCAAAACATGCATAATATTTTCCACATTGTTTTTATTGATTTCATAGTTACGGTTTACAATGTCATTTTTATTGATTAGAATAAAAATAACAGATCAAATATAATGTCATTTTTAGTGACCAGTTACGTGGTCATAGTTTCCACGACACGGCCATTCACACGAAGATTCAGCTGAGTAAGAGATATTCCAGGAATCCCTTATCTCGACATGCAGTTAGCATCCAGTTAACATTATATTAATAATCATTCTGTTTGTAGCTCTCGTAAGAGACAGTCGTCTCTAGTTTGTAAAATAAATTCTTTTTAAAAAGTTATTTTCTCGTTCCAATCATTTAATTGGCGCAGTCGGTAGGATTTGTGCAGCGTGAAAACGAACTTTTTGCGTCGTGGAGTTTCAACCCCTTCAGCACAAATTCAACAAGAATCCTNACCGATTGAAACCAATCCACAAATTTAACAACTCCGAAAATAACACTACCATTTTTGGCGTTTTTGCAGGAGTTACTATCACAATAATTGTCCTGATATTGGCAGCTTTTAAGAAAAATTGGATTAAAACCCGTATACTGGGATGTTGTTGCTTCAAAACACCCCAAAAAGAAGAAAATACCAATGACGAAGATATGGTTCCAAGCCGCCAAAATAATTCCATTATTTTTTCGGCCTAAGGAGGGAGGAGTTACGTGGTCATAGTTCCCACGACACGGCCATTCACACGGAGATTCAGCTGAGTAAGAGATATTCCAGGAATCCCTTATCTCGACATGCAGTTAGCATCCAGTTAACATTATACTAATTATTATTCTATTTGTAGCTCTCGTAAGAGACAGTCGTCTCTAGTTTGTAAAATGATTTTTTTTTAAACTTATTTTCTCGTTCCAATCATTTAATTGACCACTGGAGAAATTCAAATACTATTTCGACATTCAATGAAAATCTTTTGATTGCTCATTCTCAAGAATTTATGGAAACTATGAAATCATCTAGTAAATGGACACATTATTCAATAATAAAATCGTTGGTAAATATCAACCATTATATAGACAGACAGAAGCTACAAGCTTTGTTGGAGCGAAAGTCCGAAGGATATGTTTGAAAAAATCAAAAATATTTTCACCTGAACAAATATAACCGTTAATCGACGAGGACCCCGATGAAACGTTTTCATTCAGAAAAGTAAGTATCTACCTAACATTGCGTTTTTTAAAATTTTGTCGTTATTACATTTTCTATTCGATTGATGCATGCACATTTCAATTATTTCAAGAAAACTCGAAGTAAACGATATTGTGCACATTTAAAGTTGGCGACACTCTCAAAGGCCAAAAAACAAATACATAGAAATAAACCGGCTGCGAACTAGTCCACGTAGACTGTAGAATTGGCAGTTCATTTTGGATAATTTTCACTAAAGGGTTTTATGATTTGCTGAATAGTCACAAAATTGAATTTGAAGTCATGTTATGGTGACGAATAGAAATCGGGGAATGCTGGATGGTTATCGCCGTCGTGTTCAGTTCAAGAACTGATCGCGATTTGAGTATTGAAATTCGATATTGGTGCAGTTATAATTGATTGGAATTTTTGGTATCTGTTCAAAATGTGGCGTCCTTGGATAAGTACTAATAGTAATAACGAGTATGATAACAACGCAAACTTTTTCCAATGTAGTGATTCCAATAGCAATGGTGAACAATGCGAAAAAGAGATACCAGTGAAAAAGATTCGGTCGCATTTGAATATTGATATACAGAGAGAAACCAGACTCAAGTCTGGTTTCGAGGGAAACAAACTATTGCAAGCGACATCAGATTTGAACGAATTTCCTTTCTCAAGTGTACGTAAAATAGTCAAAAAAAACCTCATGAACGCAAGACGCGATGTGATACAGGGTTACCAAAACCTTTAGATGTTCATCTGACAAAATCATTGAAAAAAAAATATACGACTGTTTCAAAAGCAATGAGACATTGCTTGTTTGTAATTTTTTGGCCAAAAACAACACCGTAATCATGCCTCAGCATAGGTTGCACTATATCGTTCACTTGAACTATAACTTGTGTAGATTTGAAGTAGACTACATTATGAGACGCGGGTTCGAAGCTAGCCCCTAAGTCATGCTTTTTATTTCATTTTTTCGTCGAAGGCATAAATGACCTTACATGACCTTAAATGTGAAAATGTCAAAGATATGAAGGGAATCTTGATTGTTATTATGGTAGGAATCAAAAGTACAACGAACATTTACAATTACCGGCAAATACTACAAAATTAGTAAAAAATAAATGAACTCACGCCCGAGATCTTGCCCCACCCCATCTTTTTTCGTTAATTATTTTAATGGAAAATGCACAATCCAATTAATGAATTTGGTAATTCAAGGAAGCAAATAGCAACATATTCAAATATGTCTGATCCGAATTTATATACAGGGCATTGTTTGCGAGTACATCTGCAACCGTATTAGTTGATGCCGGTGCTGATATTACTGCATCAAAACGTCATGGTGACTGGAAATCTAATTCTGTGGCGGAAGACTACATCGAAAATTCAGTTCAAAATAAAATTTGTATTTCCAATACATTGGAAACACGTGTTGCCTTTTTGTAAAATCATTTATTGACAATCTCACAATTAAGTGAATTTTAAATACCTTAGTTATGGATTTTCATCAAGTATCTGCCAAGTCCGTCATATATAATATTGAACACTATTGAGACTAGCAATAATGAAATAAATGTAAATATTCCTTCCATTTCCAGATCAGTGGGACCTGGAATAAACTTTTTGAATTGCACAATAAATAATCCTAATATTTTCAAGTAATCGGATCAATTACAATTATTATGTTCGATGTAAATATGAATAGAATGTTTATATTTTTCCTGTATACCTGGTAATACCCAAGCTAATACCATTAATTGCAATTTTGTAGAATGTTTTAAAGAAATACGAGTAATTACTGTGTATTTATAATTCTTCATTATTTATCGGGTGTAGAAAAAATAGCGTATGCAACTACCATGTAATGCTTATTACATGATCGTTGCATAATATATTATTATATAAAGCTCAAATTCCAATAAGTATATAATCTGAAGTGTTCATTAAGCACAACCCAAACCGAGTTTTTCTTGAACTACCTGTTGACAACACACTTGTCTGATTTTTCCAAATGCCAGAACATCAACCGTCAAAATGCACATCTTTTTATATTGGAGGATCGATATGTTGGTGAAGATTTGGAAAAAATTTGGAGTATGCAGCAAACTACAGCCGTTATCATTTCTACATTCAACTTAACATACCACGAGCTACACTCTTCGAAAACTCTTTCAAATAGAGAAAAAAATCTTCACGAATGAATTGAATTTTGTGTGAATCTACACCTCGGTTTTATCTTACAATCATACAAAAATACTCTGACTCATCAAAACTGTCATCAACTATTCAAATAGTGCTGCATTAATTAATGAAGTTTCCTGATAGAAAAGTGTCCTGTTAGAAGAGGCAGTATCAAACATTACTTCAATAATAAAAAAAACTATGCATTTGTATTATATGATCGTATCAACGGCTGATAATACTACATATATCCACAAATGATGACATTACATATATTACCAAATTTTTAATGCACGAACTGTGAAATAGAATATTCAAGGCATGCATTGAGTTCCATCCCCAACAATGGTGTCAAAGTTTTTTCTCGAAAGATTGTTATCGACACAAACGAACACGAAACGTTTCTAACCAATGACTTAATGTGCGGCGCTCTGCATGAAAACATGTTTCACGTTGATTGTATATACACTAGTTATTAAGAAAAATAAGAATACAATATATTGCTTTGCTGACGACAGCACATCACTTGTCTCGTCATTCCATTTGGATTCCAGGACATCCGCTACGAAGGCACATCTTCAACTGCAGCAGGAGGTTTCATATCTTAATGAAGATCAGAATGAGAGGATGAGAATCATCAATTGAGCGCAAGGGTTTGCTGACCTGCTAAGGGTGATGTTGTATTCACCGTGATAGTCACTGCTTCTGCTGCTCAATAATTTGTGCAAGGGAGTTTCTCAGGATATTCTGCATTTGAATATTCAATAGTCGCTTCCTGGCTGCACCATTCAGCCTCCCAGATTTGTTAATCAAGAGTTGGAGAACTGACACCTTTTTTTGTCTCCAGGACCGTTGGCGTCATCAAATCGAAATCAATCTTTTCTATACACAAGGTACAGCCCCGCTTTATCACGATATGACATTAATACGCTGAGTTAACTCCGGGTATCTCGAAGTTATTTTTCAGTGACACAGAGTGGAGTAAGAGCCACTGAGTGCCAGAGTGTTTAGCCCATGACACCCCAAGAATTACCAGTGGAGTAAAAGGGCAGAGTCTGAGAGAAACCACGGAATTGAACATGCTATTTTAGCAGGCCACGATGAATCTTCCGGTATTTTATGTGGATACTCTTAACTCAAGAGTCCAGACCCTCTCAGTTGTCTAGGAGTATATGAGCGTGGAATAAACGATTCAGAATACAAACTCATGAACCATTTCAGTACTATAAAACGTTATAATTGAATCGAATTGACAAACATTTTTCCCGCGGTGGTGATTTTGTTTCTCCTACAGTTTCGATGATTACCAAATCTGTTGGACTTTAGACTGATCTTAGGATTATCTTCACAGAAATTATCTCTTGTGAGTGTCATTGTTCCACCTCAAAGTAAGCATACGTCTTTTCGGCATCTCTAATTCCGTTACGATAGCGTGCATGTGTTGGTACAAAAACTGTAAGAACATTCATGTGAAATGAATGAATTACCTTATTTCTCCAGGTTTTCAAGTGCCGAAGATGTATCTACTGATGTTTCAAAGCGCATTGGATAATTGAGCTAGTGAGATGCAGAAAAAACGGGGGCTGAGGAAATCACCCTGGAACACACCCTTCTGAAGGTGATCTCCCTTGTTTCGAATCTAGTTTGACCAGATTTAGTGATACATCTTCATATAGAAGGTCATCAGAGAGAGTTCAGACAATCTCAATATTTTAAAACCTCTTTCAAAATACTGGTTGCAACATACTGAATAAAATTTCTAACCTTCCCTAGTATTAAAGAAAATTAATTATAGTCACCTTCTACACTGGAACCAGAAGCTACTAGTACATGAAAAGTATTTGATGTCAAATCAAAATCCTGATCGTTCACCGTCGTTTGAGAACTTCGTTCAACAGAACAGTACAGGGTGTCTCCAGATATACTGGCATTCAGGAGTTGAATTCCGACGTAGGGCTGAAAAGACAAAACACTCATTCAAATCATATCACCTTGTATTATCTGAAGTCATTTCGTAACATTCAACTTTTTTCGACTATTTCAAATTTGTAATTGTTATTCATCGAATTATTTGTATAGGTATGTATATTCGATGAAAGAGATACACTGACGTGAAACTTCATGCAAGAAGTAGTAAAATCGCACAAAATAGCTTATGACAATGAAGAATTATGGAGTCAGTGTCACATGATCAGAAGTTGCTGGCAAATCTAGGAATGGACACCTAATCATATTTTTCGTTCGTGTACCCCTTCTTTAATATAAAAATAGTGCATTCATTGTTGGTTATCGTGAGTGGTTCGTTCTATTCACGCAGTCAAACTCTGTGTGAACGTTTATTCAATCCCATCTGTGGTATTTTCGATTTCCACTACATATAATTCTACTGGGTGTGTCAAAAAGTGACATGAACCTCTTGAATTTTATTAGGAACAGTTTCTCAGGATGATTCTTGAAATCCACGATATCCTAGTGGTCTCAGACAACTCATAGTATTTAGTTACGTGATAATGAATTCATGAATGGAATTCCTCTAATTTTTCACTCATTCCTATAGTAAAAGACAAAAAAGTGAATATTTTGTTCCAAAAATGAACATCCGTTTTATCGTCTTCTCGTAAAACATTCACCTCACTCGAAGCCGAGAACTACACGATGACTATCGTCTTGCTCAAATGGTTGAAGACGAGTACATCAAGTTGAGGGTGGTAAATGAGTGGTTCCAATAAATTCGGCACTTCTCATTCCTCACAACAAATTCAATAACCACATAGCATAAGGCAACACCGGTTTTTCGTCAATACCGTAGTATTATCATTAACATTATTACTTTTCCGAAGTTCGAGCTGATCTGAGAATAATGAGTCAATAATAAGAGCCTTTCTATCATAATAATTTATCATTGTTTTTTTGTTGAATTTGCCACACTATAAAATTATTATCAGATTTTTTTGATAATTCTGATCATTATCTTCATTCTAGTCAATTCTTCCCTAAATTTCATTATTTGGGATAAAACCGCGACACGTTATCTTGGCTTCTTCTTTTTTTGATAATGGTTGTCAGTCATTTCTTCAGACGACAGAATCCAGAATTGCATTTCCATCAGTCATCGCTATTTGCATGTTCAGTTTACTTTTTGTTTTCGTTAACCTGCGACTTCTTTTGAATATTGGGGTCCTGTATCTTTTCTCGTATCTTAGAAACTTGTTATCTTTTCAAAAATTCGTTCATTTCTTGTTAATACATTATTGGGCCTTGATCTAGAAACTTCGATCTCTTTCGTTGCTTGTGGTTCACTTCTTCTGTCTCATAATTTGTTCTTCCTCGTTCTGAACATTTCAATTGGAAATACGACTTAATTTTCTATTTGACTTTGTTATATATATTTTTCATCACTTTCGGTTCTGCGAACATTTTCCAACCTTGACTTAAATATTATATGTAGGCATCAAAGTTACAAACATAAATACTAATTTTTTTCCAACTACCAAACTTTGCAAGCAAGGTGAATATCCTGAATATTCTGGAACACCCTTAACATCCACTTACGATAGGATAGATAGCTGTGATGAAGTTACGGTTGTTGCGAGGTGAACTACCGAAAAGACATAGAAAAGTGATGCAAACGCTGATTTTGATTTCGAGAATGCAAACCTGAGAACCATCAAAAAATTCATCAAATCTGAGCGTCCATCCACAGGCGATATGATGGAAGTTAAATTCGTTAAGAATATGTTATCGACGGTCTTCAAGAAGGGCGATGCAGAAAAGCTTCACCAACTCCAACAAAGGCAAATAATTGCCAGATTACTTGATTATCATGAACACAAATGACCTAGAGCATATGTTTCAGTTATTACTACGAAGCAAACTCTAAAACATCCACTAGGAGAGATTGAGCCCTCACATGAGTGCTTTGATATTGATTCTCCTCACCGTAATCTTTCTTTCAGGTCAGTAAATTGACTGAGATGCTTTCCTAATCTCTTTATCCCTTCTGGGAAGTAATTTTGCTCGAGCCCTTCGAAACAGTGTGAAGGCTCGACCATGACCTCATTGTTTATGTTCATGTTCATATGATGTCTTCCGAAACATTTTATAAATTTGGAGATAGAACTCCAAATCGCAGAAGTCAGGCGAATATGGTAAGAAGTTGATCCATTCGTATGTCAATCTTCAAAAGTTTGCCTATGCTTCAGTGTAGGGGTGAATTGTTTTGCTGGAAAAAAATCATTTTGACAAACAAATCAGCACGTTTTTCTTCAACTCGCAGTCCAATTCAAATGCATAGTACTGATCAGTTGTTGATTCAGGCTTGTCCAAATAATCAAGTAATTTCTTTTGTAATTCGAAAAATTTTTGTCATAATTTTTTCGGTCCATAAAATGCTCTTGGCCTCCTTCGATGAGCCCACATTGCTTTTTATGCTCTATGGCGGTCTAACATGATCATATCATCGACTTCATTGGCGGATTCTGATGTAGTGACGGTTTTTGGTGAATCTGTATGTTTATCTTTCGCTGTTCATAACGGAGGGACAGTTTTAATTATTGCATCATCGTTGTCATTCAAGTAAAAGACAATTTAGTGAACGATATTTTACTTTCTCCATTCAGAGAACAAAACCAATTGTTTTTGCTTGAAATTTCCACAAACATTTTGAATGCAAATTACAACGAAGGTTAGATTCATCTCAAATTATTCTTATAGACGTATCCCACTACCTTTCTCGAGAATTCATTTACAGAATTTATTTTAACTTTTGAATCCAATGAAAATCTCCATTTTGGTACAAGTTTCGATATCAGATAATATCACAAATTTTGTCAACATAGTTGTGCATTTCTACCACAGATGAATGAAAAATATAAGAAATCTCCCGAAATTCTCAACGTAATATACCATCTATATTAACAAAAAAAAATCGTTTTGAACGATTTACTCACGTTACTTAATCGTATCGATGAATATGGTGTAATCGACGTCCATGCCATGAAAGCTTCAATTCGTCCATTCGGAGTTTTAACGCACTCTATCACGGAATCGTTTCCCATTCTGGCATCTTGAGATAGTCCAACCCCAACCCAAGCTGCGTTTCTGTCAGCTTTCATATCGAAAACGAATTTACCTCCCACAGACGTTACCACAACCGCTGCCCTACAGTTTTGCGATTGAACACATCCTTCTGGTGCCCCAAAGCAATATTTGGTGTCGAAACAACCGGCATAGAAGGGATCTCTTCCAAAGTTGTCGCTTGTGGATCTCCTTGACACTTGTACGGTGGGAGATTCAATACCAACCCAGAAAGTGTTGTAATTTTGGGCTACTGTCGAGCTGAAAATAATATTGAAAGTATAAGCATAGTCCAGCAGCATAGTCCAACTAGAGTAACATATTATGGTTCTCGATAATATCATTGGCTGAAAAATGTATGTTGAATATTCATTCTGCAATAAGGTTGAGAAAGGCGAAGATTTATTCGCACTGAAGAGAAACAATGCAATACGCATATATACAGACGGCTCAAAAACCAAAGAAGACTCAGGAGGTGGAGTTTATTCCAGATCACTAAGCCTAAGGATTAAATAAGGAATGGGAAGAAATACCAGCGTGGTTCAAACAGAACTAGCTGGTATCATGATGTATTTTTCTCAATCTCGCGGGGACTATCCTGGTCAACTCCAATGTCTGGCATGGAAAGTAGGCCACCTGTGAGGTATTTCAGAGAATCGCCCTTCCATGTCTGCAGGGTGATAACGGCACTCATCAGCCAAAAAAGGCTTTCCAGGGATTTTTTGATGACAAGTAGCTAGCCAAGCAGAAAGACTGAGGAAGACTAGGGACTCAGATCACTGAGCCTAAGGATTAAGTGAGGAATGGAAAAAATACCAGCGAGAGCAAACAGAACTGGCCAGTATCTCAATCGCCACAAAAGAAATAACCAGGAAAGGAATATCTGGCAAAAACATAACAATCTGCACTGATAGCAGACAAGCCCTATTAGCCTTGAACAGACAACGTGTTACCTGAGGCTAGTATTAGAGTGCCACCAAGATTTAGCCAAAGCCTCGGTATATAATAACATTGCCGCCTACGGCCTAGTGACTTCGACAATTGCGGAACTAGCCGAACATCACACCCATGCTCAATCTTTATAGAGATGGGATTGGTCAAATGATGCAGTCTTGTCAGGATCACCCTGGGCGACCCTGGAAAATTGGCGCCGAAGAAATATCTGACTATGGAAAAACGAAAAATCTACGCTCAACAGTAGGATTTCTGACTGGACACTGTCAAATAAGGAAACCACGTCCATATTATGGGGCTAGTGGACACACCTCTATGAAGGATCTTTGAACAGGAAGATGATACTGTCAGACATGTCTTATGTGGGTGTCCGGAGTTATCGTCAATAAGAGAGTGTGTGTTCGGCGAGTCTTGACCTACACCTGCCGATATAAAGGAGATGTCTCCTAGTGACCTGTCCACTTTCCTGGAAAGGACAGGATGGATGATCATCTAGGAGAACATCTACTCGGAAGGATGTACAATGGGTGACATGTGGCCTGAGTGCTATGAGCGTACACTCATCCTCCCTACTCTACAGATACAGAGACCGTTGAGAAAGAGTGAACGTACGTGTTTTGTTATCAGCTCCATGACATACTGTTGGTGATACTATGATAAAACAGTTTCATTTTCATAACTCAGTATATACTTGTTCAATCTGCCACTTGAAGATGATTACTTGGTGATTGAAACACGTGTCGAGGTGTTAAAAGTAACGGTTTGGTGTTGGGATAGAACTCCAGTAACATTCTTAACTCATATTTATGTTGGATTTTAAAACCTAGAAATTGTATGTATCGAAACAAAAATTCACAACCCCAGAAAGTAACCTCAAACATAGAGTAGCACACATCAGAAAATCACAATTCCGAATAGAAAAGACTGAAGACAATAAAACACAAACTCCATAGTAACAACAGTACATGCACAAAAGCAGACAAAACGCTTGACTATATACAAACCACTTCTGCTACTGTCACTCGGGCTAAGTATTATTATGAAAATTACGGCCCATAAAGTTCTACGCCTGTACCAAAAATTACTACTACAGAGGTGTCTTCCGGAGGTGCATATGATATGCTTTGTACATGGCTTTGCATACGGACCGCCTTCGGGGGCCTCGTTCAATATTCATATTCATACTTTGAGTATGACATCTACATGAAAGGAGATATCTATTCTTACTTACACTCAGTTCTACTAGGTCAAGAATGTTGTGGAATAAGTCCATGGAAATTATGAGAAATATTTTGATAACTCATTTGATTCTCTTCCTTGTGGGTGAGTTTAGAACCTTGTAAACTTACTTGAATACTATAGGTCCTTCATACCCAACAGGAGGTACCCAAGTGACATCAAGTTGATCCTTTTCCTTTGTATCGCTATGAGTCACCGTATCTCCACGATCTGCGCAGTTGATGGTATGTCCGTCAGTCACAGGGGAAGTCTGAAACGTCCCCAAAATCTCCCCCGCCGGAGTTCGGCCTTGGAGCATGAATCCCTGGAAGCGAACTCCCAACGAAGATCCAACTGAGACTTGAACTTTATCCCCGTGTTGCCTTGTCACTATGGAGTAAGGGGAAAGTCCAGGTTGAGCGGGGATTCCCCCTTGATGAAAGGGCATCATGGTCTGACATACTGATGTGGGAGCCCCTTGGGGTAGGGCGTTCGTTGAAGTGAAGAAAATGAGGAACAGTAGGAGGATCATCTCAGGAATCTGAAATAATTTTAAAAGATGAGTAAATATATCACATTCGTTTATGGAATTGTATGAGCAAATATTAAGTTGCTTTGTACAACTCTGATTATTTACAATCAATTGGTAAGTGAGAGTTCATCTCAAATGCCGTTCTCCAAATGAAAGAATTCTTAGAAAATAAGATTCATACAGTATTGGCAGGATTTCGAAAACGACATATTTTATTGAATTCATGAAGCTCTAGAGGTAGATATCAGGTGAAAGTGACTAGGATTTTTGTATTTCTTCAACGGTATACACAGTGTCTGTGGTATAAAACACAAATTCATTTTGAGCTGAATAAAGGGTTTTGAAAAGTCCCGAACAGGTCGTATTTTCATTTCAATTTACTGCTTTTCGAAATAATTATTCAATATTTATTTTCAAACGGAACGCACTATTTGTTTATCTTGCGGACTTATTTTGCTGAGATGATTTCAAAAATATTACAGAAGTTTCTATAACTCATAAAC